GAAATTATTTTTGACTGTGTTCAAAACTTCATCATTCAGTCTAGACGTTTTTAAAGAAACTTTTACTTCATTCATATCAGTAATCATGTTTGTTGTGGTTTGTATTCATGCAATCAGCGTTTGTTCTCTCAATGCAGTTTTGATGCCCATCGCTTCCCCATCAAACATCGTCCCCCATCCCACTATAAATCCTTGCACCCTTTCTCTTTCTTTTCCCTGCACATGTTATACTTTATATATATTTATATTTATTTATATGAATTATAATATTGTCAGTACTGATCCATAGCTGCTGTTATGTCTACAAGGAGACGGATTTACATAAGTACTATGTACTTGTTTCTGGATCCTTTTCTGTATTTATAACCATGTACTATTGTAATTAAACATCAATAAAATAAAGTTTAAACTAAATCAAGGTTTCACTGTATATATAAACGAGGGGCATTATATCAAGGTTTTATTGTATATATAAATGAGGGGCTTTATTTAAGCATTGTAGCGCGCATTATGTTGTTTGCTTGCAAAGCTGTGTCATTCAAATAGATCATAAATACCATACAAAAACAGTTCAGTACTTATATTCATGTTTTCTCTGACTCTTATGTTCTTTTTTAACTATAATTTATATTTAAAATTAAAAATGCCCGCCTTATCGACAGTCCACACAATTTCGTTCAATAGTTTGAACAGCGTATTGTCGCGTGCTGATTGGCAAACAAAGTAGTACTTTGAAATTTTAACAAACACTTCAATTTTATTCCACAATTCAGTATCAATACAATTGCGTATCATATGTCTATATGGTGATCTAAGTTTATCAATAGAACTCTGAGCTGAAAGTTAGATTTGAAATTGTTTCGATTTTTCCCCGGAACAAATTTCGCGCATGGACAAATACAGTGAACACCGTAAATCCGACCTTGCCCTCCACGAGGGAGTTATTTTTGGAAGTTAATTCGAACTTTTCTCTTTGCTCATTTTGTGAAGAATCCAGGCGTGAATTTATTTGTTGATTGTATGGGAACCTGACAACAGTCGATAGATTCTATAACAGACTCGTTATTTGACATGTCGTCAGAAACTGAGGAACCGTGGATGCGAGACGCGTGAAACTGATAGCGTTTGAAGTGAGTGATCTTGCGACGGAGCCCAGGTTCGTTACGAATGTCTGAAATGTTTATGTGTGCTGTGACTCATATCAGTAGGTCTGTAACATATGTGTCAGTAGGTCTATAGAATATGTGTATTTCAGACATTTGTAACGAACCCCTTTTTATCAGTGCAGTGTAACAGACGATATTTCTGATAAATTGCATGAGCGCTAAAATGGTTTCCATTGCCGGCATTGGTGATTTCAACCGATGTGCATTTTGTACGATATTGCAGACCTTGGTCTTGTTTTCGTATTTTATTTTTTATTTTGCACATAAATTTACAATGACATTGTCAAATCTCACAATGCCCAGCGATATTTCAGCAGCCGTCATGTTTTTTTATATTGGATATTGTAGTTCCGGTCAGTGTTGTATTAATACGCTCAGAATTGTGTCTCGTGATGCATGGTAATTAAAGTCCCATCAACGACACAGCTTTCAAAGAGGATATATAGTGACAATGCCATGCAAATGTAAATATAAGGTATTTTAAGGCTATAAGGTAAAAGGCTCCTCTTCTTTAGTTTTGTTTATTTTAAGGCTATAAGATAAAAGGTTCCTTTTCTTTAGTTTTGTTTATTTTAAGGCTATAAGGTAAACTGTTCCTCTTCTTTAGTTTTGTTTATTTTAAGGCTATAAGGTAAAAGGTTCCTCTTCTTTAGTTTTATTTATTTTAAGGCTATAAGGTAAAAGTTCCTTTTCATTAGTTTTGTTTATTTTAAGGCTATAAGGTAAACGGTTCCTCCTCTTTAGTTTTGTTTATTTTAAGGCTATAAGGTAAAAGTTCCTCCTCTTTAGTTTTATTTATTTTAAGGCTATAAGGTAAACGGTTCCTCCTCTTTAGTTTTGTTCCTTCTTAATATAGTTGCTGCCTTATCATGTGGAAAGTGAATTCGGTGTTTGGTAAATTAATTCTATATTCGTCTGGAGGTATACATATATATATAAACCCTTCCTTGGTTCATGGCATAGAAATGGATTGTTTATACAGTTTAACCCGGAGGTGTTAAATGAATTATGATATTGGATTAGCTGAAAGAATCTGTACCTGTATTTGAGAACAACTAAAATATCATTATTATTATTTTTATCATTAAGTGTCCTCATTTCAAAGAATGGTTTGGAACCCAAGCCGTTTAATGTTTATATCATATTTTAATGGTTTGGAACCCAAGCCGTTTAATGTTTATATCATATTTTGATATTTTTGAAAAGAATAATCCCTGAAAATGTTCCATTATGAACCATTAAGTTAACTAAGCAATTCGTGTATCATATACAATACCATTATTTGTTAAATTTCAGGAGATATGGGTGTTTTTCCAGCATTATTGGTAAGCCTATTACATTATTTATATAAACTCATCGTCTTGTTACACAAACTGTGTATGTAAGATTATAATGAGATATTTTAATTTGAAGATCTTATAAAAAAGAGTAGTGTTTTTTTCTATGATAAATGAAATATTTAAATCTTCAAATAGGCGAAAAAAGCCAAGTATTCGTGAAATTCCTTCATTGTTCTGTTCCAATCTCAAATAAATCTTTTAGCACCAGTAAATGTGTATTCCTTATTCGCATGTCTTTCAACCAATCTACCTTACACAAAAAACGTTATATATGATGTATATATATAGCGTATGAAATCAGTGACGTCATTAACAGAAACGCCATCTGACGCTGTAACTTGACTGCAAACTTGAGAAAACCGGTTTCTTCCCATATTAAGACCTCGCGCGCTAACATCTGGGCTGAAAAGGGTGATCAATATAAGTTGATATAAATTGTTTCGTAATTATTTGTAAAATAAAATATATTTAGCATGCGACTGATATTTTGTTCTACATAATTTCATAATAATGACCTGCGTTTAACATCTATAGATGGGCTAGGCTATTGCAGTGAAAAGATACATTTTCTGTTTGTCGCAGTTTGCTTATGACCTTCAATCTATGCTGGATTTGGCGTAAATATGACTGTTACCACATGTGGTGACGGAAATGTTTCTATATTCAGAACATATAGCTCCGGTGTTTCATAAGGGCTAATGTTGCCTTCTCTCTTATTTTACATTCTCCTCAGTTCCTGTTGATGTTTTAATCGATTTTGTGTTTATACTTTATGTTTTCGGACTAACAATATAGTATGCATTGTTTGTCTTTACAACTTTTATACGATTCCCTTTTATTTGTATTTAAATTGTTGAAGAGTTTCTTTTACATCTCTTAGATGTTCACTTAAATGTAAACGTATAACCCGCTTTTCCAATAAGATTACTCTACCCGATTCCTTCGCTCCACTTTTCTGTTTTAGGTTTTCTTCTTTACCATTGGGTGTATAGACATAACATCATCGAAAGCAGGTAAGAAGTCTTAACAAATATAATTTAAAAAATCAATTTAATTGAAATTAAATTAAGATCAATAGGGAGACAACAGTATTATAAAGGCATTTTCGTTTCAATACCATTGACAGAACTGCAGTGTTAAATTAACATTACGTTAATGCTACTAAGTAGATCCCGTTAACATAACGTTATATAAATGTTGAATATTTTTCAGGGTAGACATTTGATTATGGCATTTTTGTAGTTGATAAAAATTCAAACGTTATTTAGGGGTTATTAAACATTTTGAAAAAAAAGGGTTAAGGTAAAGCGCTAACATCTGAAACTATTATATACAGATCTATTTTATTGTTTACAAGGTTTTGTAATATATACGGGGTTTTACCGTATATAATCGGTAAATAAAAAATGTTTTACTTAACATTTTACAAAGTTATTTGTAACCAGGTAGTTATACTGTATAGAAAATAATTGTAATGTTATGAAATTGTATACCACAAAGAATGTAATTTTTCTAAGCATGTTGTATTTAGGGTAATTTTACTATATTAATGTATTATATTTTTAAGGTGAAGTTTTTTGTGTATTCTATTATTATATACAAGGTAATTTTACTAAATTAATGTATTTTATTTTTCAGGTGAAATTTTTGTGTAATACTATATTAATGTATTTTATTTTTAAGGTGAAGTTTTTGTGTAATTCTATTATTGTATACAAGGTAATTTTACTATATTAATGTATTATATTTTTAAGGTGAAGTTTTTTGTGTATTCTATTATTATATACAAGGTAATTTTACTAAATTAATGTATTTTATTTTTCAGGTGAAATTTTTGTGTAATACTATATTAATGTATTTTATTTTTAAGGTGAAATGTTTGTGTAATGTTAAAAAAAAAAGCAATACTGTATATAGTAATGTCCATTCCAGGTGACGATATTGTTATTTTTCTCTTTCGTAAATGTGTTAATAGTGTATACTAGGCAATTCCAATGTATACAAGATAACAGTATTGTTTACAGGATAGCTTTTATGAAAAGACTCCGTGCCTTCAACACGAGTGAAAACTTTCTAGTACATCTAAAAGGTACACATCCAATCCTGTCGAAACTACAAGTTAAATACTTTCAATACTGAATTAATTTCTTTAAAATCATGTAACTACACCTAACTATCTACCCCTTAACGGTATAATAAAGATATTCAATAGTGAGTGTATTAAGTCCCAAATCATATAACTACACCTAACTATCTACCCCTTAACGGTACAATAAAGGTTTCAATACTGAGTGTATTAAGTCACAAATCATGTAACTAAACCTAACTATCTACCCCTTGACGGTATAATAAAGATATTCAATACTGAGTGTATTAAGTCACAAATCATGTATCTACCCCTTAACGGTACAATAAAGATATTCAATACTGAGTGTATTAAGTCAAAAATCATGTAACTACACCTAACTATCTACCCCTTAACGGTACAATAAAGATATTCAATACTGAGTGTATTAAGTAACAAATCATGTAACTACACCTAACTATCTACCCCTTAACGGTATAATAAAGATATTCAATACTGAGTGTATTAAGTCACAAATCATGTAACTACACCTAACTATCTACCCTTAACGGTATAATAAAGATATTCAATAGTGAGTGTATTAAGTCACAAATCATATAACTACACCTAACTATCTACCCCTTAACGGTACAATAAAGTTTTCAATACTGAGTGTATTAAGTCACAAATCATGTATCTACCCCTTAACGGTACAATAAAGGTTTCAATACTGAGTGTATTAAGTCACAAATCATGTAACTACACCTAACTATCTACCCCTTAACGGTATAATAAAGATATTCAATAGTGAGTGTATTAAGTCACAAATCATATAACTACACCTAACTATCTACCCCTTAACGGTACAATACAGATATTCAATACTGAGTGTATTAAGTCACAAATCATGAACATATTCAAAGTTAGATAAGACTACAAGGTATATTCAAGATATTCAATAATGGGTTTTTTTTGTGTGAAATCAAGTAAACATTCTAAGTTTTATAATTTTACAAGGCATAATAAATATGTTTAATACTGTTTGAATTTCTCTGAAATAACGCAAACCTTTCCTAGTGTTATAACAAGACAGGGTATAATCAAGATATTCAATAATGAGTCAATTTGTCTTAAACACGTAAACGTTCTTAGTTTTATAACACGACAAGGTATAATCAAGATATTCAATAATGAGTCAATTCGTCTTAAATCACGTAAACCCTCCTAGTTATATATAAGGATTAACTTGAATATATTTTTCATGTTATGAAGCTATAACACAAAAAAACGGAGTGTACTCTAAATAAACCTTCCGTTTTTTTGTGTTATAGCTCCATAACAAGAAAAATATATTCAAGTTAATCCTTATAATTTAATCTACTTTACACAATCCCTGTGGAAATCCACTTTTATTGATGGACTCTTTTCTCTTAGAAATTATTGCTCTGCTGTATCAGTCAATCAAAAGCGACGTTACAGACGGCGACGTCATTTTTTTACGTTATGGGCTGATAACATATTTTTTTAAGCCAATGAAAATGCTTGTTACAAGCAAGATTAAATTATAACTTGATAAGGTATGATAAAAGTATACAATACAGGGTGAATTTGTCTTAAATCACACAAAACCTCACAGTCAAATAACAACATCGTATAATTAAGATATTATATACTTGGTGAAATTGTTTTTAAATCCTGTAAAATTTTCTAGATATATAATTCGACAATGTGTAATAAAGATATTATATACTAGGTGAACTTCTCTCAAATCACGTAAACTATCCTAGTTATATAACGCGACAGGGCACGATCAAGAAATTCAATACTGAGTGAATTTTATTCATTAATGTTACACATCAAAGTACATGCACATGTCCATATCTCGAGATGTAGATAAACAATAAACGTTATGCGTACTTTTCCAGCTCGATTTCTATTCGATGACCTCCTTCACGGTGGTGACTTTGCACTTTGTCCAGCTTGCTGCCCTTGTTATGACTGTGAGTATGGATTGTATTCAGTATGAATAATGGAGGGATCATTTTTGTGCTGTGGACATTTTTTTAAATAAAAAAGCAACGCGAATTTTTTCACAATGTTCGGCTATCTTGAGCATCAGTGAAATAATGACACATTCCCGGAAAAAAAGTTTTCATATATGTTATTGAATGTCGCGTGGTGAATAAAGTATCAAAGATGTCGAGTCTATCATCTTACGAATTTATTCAGACCTTTGTCCTCAGCTGCTCTGAATAGTTGAACAAATCTGCAACTCTACCGGACGCTGGTATTCATAACTTCATCAGTTTAACCTTCATCTTTAACTGAGTGCTACATGTAGATATTATTTATTACTAAATTATTAGAATAAGAACAGTTTTCTCTAAATTACGCTTTTTTGAAATTGAAAACAAACTGTCTGAAATAACTTGGTTTGACTCTGTTACAAAAAATTCACCTAAGGCATTGCATTGGATACGGTTTTGATCTCTTAAACCTTATCTGCAATGTTGGAAACTATTTTTATTTTTATCTATTTTTAATTAAAACCAATCTATTCAGCCAATGACAGACGGTCAGTAGGGGATGAAGGAATATGCATTGCTGTTATATAATTAACATATAACGTGCTTATGTTGTTTTTTTAGACACGAAAGATTATGGTCCCCTATCTTGGTCCCATCCCTACCATGCTGTACAATGCCATCAACAGAACCGGCCCGACTGTGACTATCACCTCGATCAATGCAAGGGATACTGTCTCAGTAAGTCAACTTGTCGTTGCTTTTCTTTCCGGACAAACTAACAACTTTCATCTATTTCCATATCCTCCAACTGATCTGATGAAAAACGTTGGTTCGAAGTCGTCCAAGTGTTCTATTCATTGTAGTGTCACCCTGTGCACACATTGAACAACCAGTTTGACGGGTAATGCGCTTTTCATTCCGTCTTTGCGTATTGCAGAGTTATCTTCTCTTGTGAACAGGTATTGATTGTAACGTCATTGGTTGGTATGAGAAAATTACGTCATTTTCTCAAAAATTGATGACGTTACTCTCTCAAACAAATGACGTAACAATCAATACCTGTTCACAAGAGAAGATAACTCTGCAATACGCAAAGACGGAATACCCAGCCGGGGAGACCCATACCGGCACTGTACCCAAATCGGGACAGTACCGAAAACGGGACACGTATGGGAGAACGGCACAAGAAACTGTCATTCAAAGCAAAGAAGTACTTTTATGTATACAGTTTTCGTTTCATGTTACTTTTCTGACAATTAAACTGTATTAAGCTTTATTGGCTGCTGACTATCGTTACATGAACAATTTAAAGGTAAGATTAATTACCAAAACAAGTCTTTCCTGATTTACGTACCGTGCGACGCTATTTATTTGGATATCATTTTCAAAAGTCTATTTTATCAAAACTAATGCTAGTTTGGAGAAAATTTTTAATCATAATCCTGTTTGACTCTAAAATATTTGAAATATGTCTTCTTTTCTGCTGAAATTGATCGTTTATCCCCAAATATTAGCCAACATTCCGAAGTGTCCCTTTCAGGGTACAGTTACGCCGGTTCAGTGGCCTACGTAACCCTGATGGTATTTCGCGTTTTATTTATGGAACTACGCGCCCAAAATATCAACTTGTAATAGAAATGAAAAGTGGATAGTATCTATTTATGACAAATGAACAAACATTTTTTGAACTGATAGTAAGGTTAAAAGAACATTGATATTTATCTAAAAAGTGTCCCGATTTGGGTACAGTGACGTTACTCGTTCAATCGCAATTTCTCGGCCAATTCCGGCTAGGCGCGGAATCATACTTCGAGGTATGATTCCGCGCCTAGCCGGAATTGGCCGAGAAGTTGCGATTGGTTACTCGTTACCAAGCAAGTACATTCTAAACTGTCGGCGCTTCCGTATGTACGGCGATAGCCGGAACATCTCAAAACAAAACAATTGTTTTTAATCTTATTTGAAAGCTTTTTAGCTTACACTTTCAGCTTTAAAAAAGATGCTGGACAAGTTTTATGGTGGTCATCATACTCTCCTTGGGAATTATGCTATTTCTTTGTGTGATATGTAGGTCGATGTTCTGTTTTATTATTATCATTAGTGTGCTTTGATTTGTTTATTGTTTTTTGTTTTGTTGTTGTTATTGTCACTATCCAATTTTGTTTAGATTTATTACTTAAGTAACATTGTATCGCTATGTTTAAAGGTACCTGTCCCACTGTACTGTATTATTATTTATAGATACAGTTATCTCCCCTTTACTTCCGTTTGGGTAAAGCTGTAGCACAAATGGGCCCGTACAATTCTGATGGCTAGGAAGCTCAGTCGGTTAGAGCGATAGTATAACAGTCTCGGGTCCAGGGTTCGAATCCCAGTCAAATCCATCTTATAAATGTTTACATTCAGAACACTCTTGTTGTCTACCCCATGTTTATTTCATCCTTATTAATATTTCATAACGGTCGAGGATGGAACTTGTTTCCTTTCAGAAGTGACTTATCATAGCCATCGTCATGCCAGTTTTTTTGCAGTAGTACGAGAATCTGTAGTTGATTATTGCTGTGTAAATTTTAAACGTTCAATAATATGAAAATAATATGCAACAAAGTGGAAAGTTGTACAATATTTGTATTCCACACAAGCACTACATAGAAACACACTGACAACTGGCCACGGTTGCTGTATTTTTCCCTGTTTAATAAACACAGCCTATTTTTATCTATTGAGCCTATTAAAGAAAGTTTAATGGCAGAAATTGTTTACAGCAGTTGTTAAATCTACAAAATAATGGTGCAAAAATGAGCATTTTAGCAATTAAAAACAAGTGGTAGGCGTAGCTTGAATTGCTTCTCTGAGATAAAAGTTCTCCGAGATAAAAGTTCTCTGAGATAAAGGGTTCTCTGAGATAAAAGTTCTCTGAGATAAAAGTATAAATTAAATAAACGCTTCCATGATTTAGAAGAAGATTTTATTATATAATTTGCGAAAACATTCATGGAACACTCGGAAGATGTCGTATGAAATAGTTTGGTAAAAAAAATCACACAAAAACATATCAGAGCAATTGTTTAATACAGGAAGTCTTTAGCTTCTCAGAGGAGTACATCCTTAACAGTTAGTATAGAAACATTAGTTAACCCTATTCCAAGTGCAATGTAGATCATTCCGCTGATACTTACATAAAATGTAGGTCATTCTTCTGATATCAACGTACAATGTACGTCATTCCACTGATAATCACGTACAATGTAGGTCTTTCCACTGATATTTACGTAAAATGTAGGTCATTCTTCTGATATCAACGTACAAAGTAGGTCATTCCACTGATAATCACGCACAATGTAGGTCTTTCCACTGATATTAACCTGCAATGTAGGTCTTTCCACTGATATTTACGTAAAATGTAGGTCATTCTTCTGATATCAACGTACAAAGTAGGTCATTCCACTGATAATCACGCACAATGTAGGTCTTTCCACTGATATTAACCTGCAATGTAGGTCTTTCCACTGATATTTACGTAAAATGTAGGTCATTCTTCTGATATCAACGTACAAAGTAGGTCATTCCACTGATAATCACGCACAATGTAGGTCTTTCCACTGATATTAACCTGCAATGTAGGTCTTTCCACTGATATTTACGTAAAATGTAGGTCATTCTTCTGATATCAACGTACAAAGTAGGTCATTCCACTGATAATCACGCACAATGTAGGTCTTTCCACTGATATTAACGTGCAATGTAGGTCTTTCCACTGATATTTACGTAAAATGTAGGTCATTCTACTGATATTTACGTACAATGTAGGTCATTCCACTGATATTTACGTACAATGTAGTTGATTCGACATATTTTTACGTACAATGTAGGTCATTCCACTGATATTTACGTACAATGTAGGTGATTCTACTGATATTTTCGTACAATGTAGTTGATTCGACAGTTTTTACGTACACTGTAGGTCATTCCACAGATATTCACATACAATGCCGGTCATTCAACTTATATTCACGCACAATGTAGGTCATTTCACTGATATTCACATACAATGTAGGTCATTCCACTGATATTCACGTACAATGTAGGTCATTCCACTGATATTCACGTAAAATGTAGGAGATTCCACTGATATCAACGTACAATGTAGGTCATTCCACTGATATTCACGTACAATGTAGGTCATTCCACTGATATTCACGTACAATGTAGGTCATTCCACTGATATTCACGTACAATGTAGGTCATTCCACTGATATTCACGTACAATGTAGGTCATTCCACTGATATTCACGTACAATGTAGGTCATTCCACTGATATTCACGTACAATGTAGGTCATTCCACTGATATTCACGTACAATGTAGGTCATTCCACTGATATTCACGTACAATGTAGGTCATTCCACTGATATTCACGTACAATGTAGGTCATTCCACTGATATTCACGTACAATGTAGGTCATTCCACTGATATTCACGTACAATGTAGGTCATTCCACTGATATTCACGCACAATGAAGGTCATTACACTGATATTTACTTAAAATATAGGTCATTCCACTGATATTCATGTACATTGTAGGTCATTCCACTGATATGTACATACAATGTAGGTCATTCCACTGATATACACGTACAATGTAGGTCATTCCACTGATATTCACGTACAATGTAGGTCATTCCACTGATATTCACGTACAATGTAGGTCATTCCACTGATATTCACGTACAATGTAGGTCATTCCACTGATATTCACGCACAATGTAGGTCATTCCACTGATATTCACGCACAATGAAGGTCATTACACTGATATTTACTTAAAATATAGGTCATTCCACTGATATTCATGTACATTGTAGGTCATTCCACTGATATGTACATACAATGTAGGTCATTCCACTGATATACACGTACAATGTAGGTCATTCCACTGATATTCACGTACAATGTAGGTCATTCCACTGATATTCACGTACAATGTAGGTCATTCCACTGATATTCACGTACAATGTAGGTCATTCCACTGATATTCACGTACAATGTAGGTCATTCCACTGATATTCACGTACAATGTAGGTCATTCCACTGATATTCACGTACAATGTAGGACATTCCACTGATATTTACGCACAATGTAGGTCATTCCACTGATATTCACGCACAATGTAGATCATTTCACTGAAATTTACTTAAAATGAAGGTCATTCCACTGATATTAACGTACAATGTAGGTCATTCCACTGATATGTACATACATTGTAGGTCATTCCACTGATATTTACGTACAATGTAGGTCATACCGCTGATATTCACGTACAATGTAGGTCATTCCACTGATATTCACGTACAATGTAGGTCATTCCGCTGATATCAACGTACAATGTATGTCATTCCACAAATATTCACGTACAATGTAGGCCATTCCACTGATATTTACGCACAATGTAGGTCATTCCACTGATATCAACGTACAATGTATGTTATTCCACTGATATTTACGTACAATGTAGGTCATTCCGCTGATATTCACGTACAATGTAGGTCATTCCACTGATATTTACTTAAAATGTAGGTCATTCCATTGATATTCACGTACAATGTAGGTCATTCCACTGATATTTACTTAAAATGTACGACATCCCACTTGTATTTGCATACTTTGTAGGTCTTTCCACTGATATCAACGTACAAAGTAGGTCATTCCACTGATCTTTGTTACAATGCAGGTCATTTCACCACTAGACAGAAGACCTATGAACCTCCTACCTATCCTCCAGTTCATGTCATGACCTCTGTGCCGGCGACTCCGATGAATCCTGCTCCAACGACCTTTGCCCCTGTCACATCTGCTCCGATAACGTCTACACCCATGGCCTCTGCACCAGTTGGCTGTGAGAAGATAAAAGTATTAGACGCTGTTGCGTTAAATGTCGCGATTACACTTCACACCAACTTTCATAAAGAAAGTCTGGGACATCCAGACAATTCACCTTCGGATGACCTCGTGTACAGCGTTTGTGACGTCACAACTCAGTCAACTCTCTACAAAGGATCCAAGGTCAGCACTTCTGTCTGATAACATGATTATCAATTTTCAAAGTAGAGTTGACGTCCTTTTTAAAGTAAGCACGGTAACCATGGGTTACAAAGCAAGGTATATGTCAACACGTGATTAGTGTTAATGACCTGTACATGTACCAAGTATGGTATGGTAAATAGGATTTATAACAATAGTAATCTCCACGAGGAATTCTACAGTATTGTTTGCCCAAACAGAGACTTCATCTAGAAGCCATACCATTTTGGCTCATTCTGTGGGATATCTAGGCTAACAGTCTGAATTGGTATTAGGATCATTACTACGATTCACCGAAATACTGAGATCGATAGGTAATGACAAACACATTTTTGACTGAAACCGTTCATTACCTGGCGGTGTTTGCTGAAATGACAACTAGTTCAATGTTTCGGACAAATCCGATACTTTTGTCGTTGGAGCATGGGCACGTGATGATTGGTATCAGCTTGTCGGTATTGTTTTGGAGGCTTCGAGGTTTGTCCCCTTCCCCTCCTTTTATTGTCCCTCCTTTATTGGTTATTTCTCGTCTCCAACCTCAGTCGATCTCGCTATAGTGTCGTGGGTGGTCAAATTGCGCAGTGGTCAGTGTACTCGCCTTTTACTATAAAGGCAGCTGTGGTTTGACACCCCAGTCGGACGTTAAATAGCACAGGGCCATCTGCCTGAATTAGTGCGATTTTTCCCCCTGGGTTACTCTGTATTCTTCTCTCATTAATACCCCCTGCGCGCTTCCATTTCGGCCAACAAGAATGATAAATAAGCTACAATATATATAGTATATAACGTGTATCATAATTCTTAAAAAAGACATAGTTCTGTATTCGAATGTCTCCTCCAATTCTAGGTCCCGTACTCATAGAGGGTGTCACGCCTTGTAACACGATAGAAATGGTAGAAGTTTCTAGGTCCCGCGATGCCTTACTCATAGAGGGTGTCACGCCTTGTAACCCGATAGAAATGGTAGAAGTTTAACCTGGTACCGATTTACTCAGAGTGATGTGACTATTTCGGACAATTATTATGATACCCACGTACTGTGCCAAAGACAGACGGTGTTGGAGATTTGTTCAATTCTGACGTTATCTAGGCATTTAGTTCATTTGAAATGAATTCACCTTTAATGTTATCGTGTTTTGCGCTGCAGATTGGTTTTTTTCTTTCAGCAGTATACTTTTCAGCGTGTTTATTATGTCTGAGTCACATTCGAACAGTACTGAAGCAAGTATTATGTCTGAGTCACATTCGAACAGTACTGAAGCAGTATTATGTCTGAGTCACATTCGAACAGTACTGAAGCAGTATTATGTCTGAGTCACATTCGAACAGTAGTGAAGCAAGTATTATGTCTGAGTCACATTCGAACAGTAGTGAAGCAAGTATTATGTCTGAGTCACATTCGAACAGTACTGAAGCAAGTATTATGTCTGAGTCACATTCGAACAGTACTGAAGCAAGTATTATGTCTGAGTCACATTCGAACAGTACTGAAGCAAGTATTATGTCTGAGTCACATTCGAACAGTACTGAAGCAAGTATTATGTCTGAGTCACATTCGAACAGTACTGAAGCAAGTATTATGTCTGAGTCACATTCGAACAGTACTGAAGCAAGTATTATGTCTGAGTCACATTCGAACAGTACTGAAGCAAGTATTATGTCTGAGTCACATTCGAACAGTACTGAAGCAAGTATTATGTCTGAGTCACATTCGAACAGTACTGAAGCAAGTATTATGTCTGAGTCACATTCGAACAGTACTGAAGCAAGTATTATGTCTGAGTCACATTCGAACAGTACTGAAGCAAGTATTATGTCTGAGTCACATTCGAACAGTACTGAAGCAAGTATTATGTCTGAGTCACATTCGAACAGTACTGAAGCAGTATTATGTCTGAGTCACATTCGAACAGTACTGAAGCAGTATTATGTCTGAGTCACATTCGAACAGTAGTGAAGCAGTATTATATCGCGATATGGCGCTCACTTGAAAAATGAATAAATCGTTAACTTCAACGCTGAATGGTAAAATCTAAATATCACTCCTCGGTACCCTAGAACCTTTTTATCATTTATATATTATTTAAAACTATAATTTGTCGCTCTTCAGTGTACTGATATTAAGATAATATGTTATGGCCACTATTAAGATTGTTGATGTCACAGTTGCAAATATCTTACTTTTTATGGTGACACATTGCACAGAGTTTGTTAAAAAAAAATATACAATTCAACTTATTAACGTAGCGACATATAAACACAGGGTTTCGTAAAATATTTAATACATTCTTCACAACAGTAAAATACAATTACAAAACCATCCATTCAAAACTTAGCAATACAATTGATCGGACAAAGATTAGTAAAATTAGAATTTAGAATTCCGTGAGAAAAGATTAAAAAATTATTGATACTAAATACCATAGATATAATATTAATTAATATGAAAAGAAAAAATTGTTTGGTAAAACTTTTACTTACAAAACAAAGTAAAGAAATAATATTTTCAGCAAATTGTTTTTAAAACGTTACAGATCATGAGAAACTGTTACAATCACAGCCCTTACACAGCGATCAAGGCATTCGACGTAGGAACAGGAGAAGTAAGGAACCTTTCCCTGGCCTTGTCAGGAGTGTTCCTGGAGTGTGTTCCGAATGGATTTAAGGTAATTGTGTTCCGAATGCCTTCAACTTCAATTTTTACGGCATCTCACAGACAAGGATTATTTTGCATAGAGATAACTTTGGGTCAATCCTACATAAATTGCTATATTTGAAGAAAAAACAATCTGTTTTACCCATTGGGAGATATAAATTGTAGTATAAATGTATATAGAGATATCCCTTCTCACAAGTGCATAATATATTTCTCATTCACATTTTAACAAAGTTTTATGGTCAAAATGAGAGTTCACATTGAATGGAACTTATTCTTGTTTTGAGTACATTTTATTGATGAATTGATTGTGACTGACAGAATGTGTTTTGAATGTATATTAAATTTATTATAACAGAGAAACGAAAGATCTATAACTTAACTGCCCCTCAGTTGACCCCACATATAGGTATAATTTATTATCGCTAGTTGTCAAACTTTTTTTTTTCAAATACATATATAGCAATTTATTTTGGTCTTACCTAAAAGCATTTTCTTTCAAAAATATAAGCTTAAAAGTATCGGTTGGAGATCGTGAAACGACCATATAAGGCACCAATCATTTAAAATCAATTTAAATACAATGCTGTTAATTTCAAAATTGAACCGTATAAATTACATGTAACATATACCGGGGATTTGAAATTTATTTTCGCCCTGTGTTATTTTCGCCCTTCACATTTAATTACCATGTTTATTATGTTGTTAAATTATATTTGCTGTAAGAATTAATCCGCCCTCATCACGGAGGGCGAAAAAGGCGAAAAGTAAACTGCAGCGAAATTTCCCAGTTTATAGTAAGGTAAAGGGTATAATCAAGTACCATGTTTTGTGGACAGAAATATTACCAGAGAAAAGTCGTATGCCTTATATATCACATCTTGCGATGCATTTTACAGTAACACAATATAGTTGTTCAAAAGTCGAGTATTTGAAAATAGAAATAAACAAAAAACGAAATCGAGAAACTGAGGGAATCGAACTCGGGACTTTGTTATCCATACACAGTATCAAAATAAAAGCCTCAAGGCCTATGAAGTTAACTTTGAACAGAGAGATATCACTACCACAGGGACCTGAGAATTCGTGACAGCTACATGTATATCTGGACCTAAAGTAAGGTTTTCAGAGTAATTTTACATGTTTTAAGATCGACCTTCGGTAAAAATTACACCCCAATGATCATATATAGGAGAATGGCGGAAAACTCTCGATGTCGAAAAGTCGACCCCACCTAACTTTCTTGCATCAAAATCAACATTTCTTGTTGATCTACGGGAAAATGCTTAGTACCGTTGGAAAGATGGATAATTTTTCTATTAAAAACCTCCTACATGCACGTAAAATGTATTCTCCTTCCGCGGACATGATCTCCGTTTCCTCGAAAAACACACGCCATTTCAGAGTTTTTTCGCAGTCATCGTGCCACATTTTTGTATATAAGTGAGGTTGACGTCAGCCTCGTGCCGAGACCCTTGGTGTGATGGCTGGAATCGCAGCCATTTTTTCGCTGAACCAACAGTGCATGTTTCTGTGATCTATAACATGTAAAATTACTCTGAACACCTTACTTTAGGTTCAAATATAGCTGTAAAAAATTACCAGGTCCCTGTGATCAATACCTGAACAAGAGGAAGATAATCTTCTATTGGTTGTTCTAGCTTCTACGTATAAGGAAAATACTAAAAAGTTGCAGTGGTACCCTTATCTCCCCAAGTTTCCATGTTCGCCGTATTTATATACATATTTATTTATTATGTAGTATGTATTTTTTTTATTTACATTAACCTTTCTATTTTTTATAGATGGTAGTCCAGTCATGTGAGAGCGCCCCCTACATACTGACGATTACAGATGATAACCACCAGGGGGCGCTAGCTCCCGAATTTTATCACATTGTCGAGACATAGATAAAATGCTGCGAGGAATAATACAGAAAATAAAGTGATTTGATTAACTAAGCTTCTCCCATTATCAATTCGAGTGAAAAAAACATCTCGAGGATATATACACATCTTCATGTCGGCCAAAATTGGGGCAACACTCTCTTTTTACGTACTAAAAATAATAATAATAATTCGAGGTTCTTATATACCGCTTTACCATAACCTGGTTCGTAGGTTGTCTCAAAGCGGTTCACATCTTATAATCCGTGGTTATATTATAGGGGCTTTGAAACCAGCCAATATCTTTCTCAACTCCCTGGGGGGCATACAGCCGGAGCTGCCATTTCGGTGCTAACGACTAGCATTCAACAATTCTAGCACTGCCAAACCACGTACTCATTTACAGCTGAGTAGACTGGAACAAGCGGAGTAAAGTATCTTGCTCAAAGATACAACACAGCACCGTGCCGTGACTTGAACCTTCGGTCACGAGCCCGGCGTCCTACCACTGGACTACCGTGCCTCCAGTAAGTGCTTACCTGTGAGATATTTACCCGATGTACACGGATAGGAAATTTAACGTAAATATTAAAAAAAAAGAGAAAAATCAAGTCGATCGAATTTACACTATTAAAAGAGTTGAAACCCCCGTATACATATTAATTGACCACGTATGCTGTTTCTATCTACGCTGTAAGTTCATTTTCGTTAAATATACTTTAAATAATTAATTACCGTAATATCACATGATTAGCTGCGAGAAAGGCAAAGGCATCGGCATTCAATGTCATCAACAAGACAGAAATGTTGAGACAATGACATTTAATGTGTTCACCAAGACAATAAGTTTGAGACAATGACATTTAATGTGTTCACCAATACAGAAAGTTTGAGACAATGACATTTAATATGTTCACCAAGATAGAGAGGTTGAGACAATGACATTTATTGTGTTCACCAAGACAGAAAGTTTGAGACAATGACATTTAATGGGTTCACGAAGACAGAAAGTTTGAGACAATGACATCCAATGTGTTCACCAAGACAATAAGTTTGAGACAATGACATTTAATATGTTCATTAAGACAATAAGTTTGAGACAATGACATTTAATGTGTTCACGAATACAGAAAGTTTGAGACAATGACATCCAATGTGTTTACCAAGACAGAAAGGTTGACACAATGACATTTAATGTGTTCACCAAGACAGAAATGTTGAGACAATGACATTTAGTGTGTTCACCAAGACAGAAAGTTTGAGACAATGACATCCAATGTGTTCACCAAGACAATAAGTTTGAGACAATGACATCCATTGTGTTCACGAAGACAGAAAGTTTGAGACAATGACATCCATTGTGTTCACCAAGACAGAAAGTTTGAGACAATGACATCCAATGTGTTCACCAAGACAATAAGTTTGAGACAATGACATCCATTGTGTTCACGAAGACAGAAAGTTTGAGACAATGACATCCAATGTGTTCACCAAGACAATAAGTTTGAGACAATGACATTTAATATGTTCACCAAGAGAGAAAGGTTGAGACAATGACATTTATTGTGTTCACCAAGACAGAAAGTTTGAGACAATGACATCCAATGTGTTTACCAAGACAGAAAGGTTGACACAATGACATTTAATGTGTTCACCAAGACAGAAAGTTTGAGACAATGACATTTAATATGTTCACCAAGATAGAGAGGTTGAGACAATGACATTTATTGTGTTCACCAAGACAGAAAGTTTGAGACAATGACATCCAATGTGTTCACCAAGACAATAAGTTTGAGACAATGACATCCATTGTGTTCACCAAGACAGAAAGGTTGAGACAATGACATTTAATGTGTTCACCAATACAGAAAGTTTGAGACAATGACATTTAATATGTTCACCAAGATAGAAAGGTTGAGACAATGGCATTTATTGTGTTCACCAAGACAGAAAGTTTGAGACAATGACATTTAATATGTTCATTAAGACAGAAATGTTGAGACAATGACATTGAATGTGCTCATTAAGACAGAAATGTTGAGACAATGACATTGAATGTGCTCATTAAGACAGAAATGTTGAGACAATGACATTTAATATGTTCACCAAGACAATAAGTTTGAGACAATGACATTTAATGTGTTCACGAAGACAGAAAGTTTGAGACAATGACATTTAATGTGTTTACGAAGACAGAACGTTTGAGACAATGACATTTAATATGTTCACCAAGATAGAAAGGTTGAGACAATGACATTTATTGTGTTCACCAAGACAGAAAGTTTGAGACAATGACATTTAATGTGTTCACGAAGACAGAAAGTTTGAGACAATGACATCCAATGTGTTCACCAAGACAATAAGTTTGAGACAATGACATTTAATATGTTCACCAAGACAGAAAGTTTGAGACAATGACATCCATTGTGTTCACCAAGACAGAAATGTTGAGACAATGACATCCATTGTGCTCACCAAGACAGAAATGTTGAGACAATGACATTTAATGTGTTCACCAATACAGAAATGTTGAGACAATGACATTTAATATGTTCACCAAGACAATAAGTTTGAGACAATGACATTTAATGTGTTCACCAAGACAAAAAGTTTGAGACAATGACATTTAATGTGTTCACGAAGACAGAAAGTTTGAGACAATGACATCCATTGTGTTCACGAAGACAGAAAGTTTGAGACAATGACATCCATTGTGTTCACCAAGACAGAAATGTTGAGACAATGACATTTAATGTGTTCATTAAGACAGAAATGTTGAGACAATGACATTTAATGTGTTCATTAAGACAGAAAGGTTGATACAATGACATTCAATATGTTCATTAAGACAGAAAGGTTGAGACAATGACATTTAATGTGTTCACCAAGACAGAAAGTTTGAGACAATGACATTTAATGTGTTCACCAAGACAATAAGTTTGAGACAATGACATCCATTGTGTTCACCAAGACAGAAAGTTTGAGACAATGACATCCATTGTGTTCACCAAGACAGAAATGTTGAGACAATGACATTTAATGTGTTCATTAAGACAGAAATGTTGAGACAATGACATTTAATGTGTTCATTAAGACAGAAAGGTTGATACAATGACATTCAATATGTTCATTAAGACAGAAAGGTTGAGACAATGACATTTAATGTGTTCACCAAGACAGAAAGTTTGAGACAATGACATTTAATGTGTTCACCAAGACAATAAGTTTGAGACAATGACATCCATTGTGTTCACCAAGACAGAAAGGTTGAGACAATGACATCCATTGTGTTCACCAAGACAGAAATGTTGAGACAATGACATTTAATGTGTTCATTAAGACAGAAATGTTGAGACAATGACATTTAATGTGTTCATTAAGACAGAAAGGTTGATACAATGACAATCAATATGTTCATTAAGACAGAAAGGTTGAGACAATGACATTTAATGTGTTCACCAAGACAGAAAGTTTGAGACAATGACATTTAATGTGTTCACCAAGACAATAAGTTTGAGACAATGACATCCATTGTGTTCACCAAGACAGAAATGTTGAGACAATGACATTTAATGTGTTCATTAAGACAGAAATGTTGAGACAATGACATTTAATGTGTTCATTAAGACAGAAAGGTTGATACAATGACATTCAATATGTTCATTAAGACAGAAAGGTTGAGACAATGACATTTAATGTGTTCACCAAGACAGAAAGTTTGAGACAATGACATTTAATGTGTTCACCAAGACAATAAGTTTGAGACAATGACATCCATTGTGTTCACCAAGACAGAAATGTTGAGACAATGACATCCATTGTGTTCACCAAGACAGAAATGTTGAGACAATGACATTTAATGTGTTCATTAAGACAGAAATGTTGAGACAATGACATTTAATGTGTTCATTAAGACAGAAAGGTTGATACAATGACATTCAATATGTTCATTAAGACAGAAAGGTTGAGACAATGACATTTAATGTGTTCACCAAGACAGAAAGTTTGAGACAATGACATTTAATGTGTTCACCAAGACAATAAGTTTGAGACAATGACATCCATTGTGTTCACCAAGACAGAAATGTTGAGACAATGACATTTAATGTGTTCATTAAGACAGAAATGTTGAGACAATGACATTTAATGTGTTCATTAAGACAGAAAGGTTGATACAATGACATTCAATATGTTCATTAAGACAGAAAGGTTGAGACAATGACATTTAATGTGTTCACCAAGACAGAAAGTTTGAGACAATGACATTTAATGTGTTCACCAAGACAATAAGTTTGAGACAATGACATCCATTGTGTTCACCAAGACAGAAATGTTGAGACAATGACATCCATTGTGTTCACCAAGACAGAAATGTTGAGACAATGACATTTAATGTGTTCATTAAGACAGAAATGTTGAGACAATGACATTTAATGTGTTCATTAAGACAGAAAGGTTGATACAATGACATTCAATATGTTCATTAAGACAGAAAGGTTGAGACAATGACATTTAATGTGTTCACCAAGACAGAAAGTTTGAGACAATGACATTTAATGTGTTCACCAAGACAATAAGTTTGAGACAATGACATCCATTGTGTTCACCAAGACAGAAATGTTGAGACAATGACATCCATTGTGTTCACCAAGACAGAAATGTTGAGACAATGACATTTAATGTGTTCATTAAGACAGAAATGTTGAGACAATGACATTTAATGTGTTCATTAAGACAGAAAGGTTGATACAATGACAATCAATATGTTCATTAAGACAGAAAGGTTGAGACAATGACATTTAATGTGTTCACCAAGACAGAAAGTTTGAGACAATGACATCCATTGTGTTCACCAAGACAGAAATGTTGAGACAATGACATCCATTGTGTTCACCAAGACAGAAATGTTGAGACAATGACATTTAATGTGTTCATTAAGACAGAAATGTTGAGACAATGACATTTAATGTGTTCATTAAGACAGAAATGTTGAGACAATGACATTTAATGTGTTCATTAAGACAGAAAGGTTGATACAATGACATTCAATATGTTCATTAAGACAG